CAAAGAATAATGAACCCCAGCCTCCCTGAAGGTGCTGCTTTGCCATTAGCAGGCCCCTGATGGAAGAAGCTGGGCAGTTACGGCAACTTGCACTGCCCATCTGGAACTTAGGCAACTCCCCCGTGCTTGCCAGAGTTGTCTATGCCTACGGTGTTTCTGTAACAATGTATTATATTATTTGAAGATTAGTTGACCTTCAAACGGGGGACAGGGACATTTTGTGTAGATAAAGAACCAGTGTTTGTTGTACAACTGCGGGAGGTTCTCCATCTATCCCATGTAAAGCTATTATTTTTCCTGAGTCTTACTCTTTCTGTATTTGTGTCCTCCACCACTCCCTTCTTGGCTGACATAGATACATGTGCCTGCCAGATTGTCAACAAGGGTCATATTTCAATAAAAGGTACTAAGGACAAAAAAAGAAATATGAGGGACTCTGAAAGCTCCCATAGTCAAGAAATATGTTTAATAAGTTTATTTTACCTAGATTCTGATGTGTACTGGCCTTAAGAACCTGGAACCAACTTCTGAGAAATCCTGAACATTCTTGACACTTAAAATGAACTATGAATCAGAAATTTCTGTTTCTTATTTGGAAGCATATCATGGAACTCCAATGGAGAGCAATTGGACACTTTTATTATTTTAGGTTTATAAATAAAAATGTAGGAATTGCATCCTTACGAGAAATGGAAAATGAATCAGATTTGTTTGACTTGCTGAGTGATTTTTAATTTTTAGGACCTTCAGTGTAAACTAGTAATTATGATGATGCCACCATCAGATGACATATAATTATATCCATGAGATAATGGGTAATGAGCACTCTTTAAATGAAAAAAAATTCCTAAAGTAATTACTGGATGATGAAAATAAATTGATTCACTATTTTAAAAATAAAAATTACTGTGATCCCTGAAGCAGCATATATTCATATACAGGTTCTTTTGTGTGGATAATTACAATGGAAAAATGGTGAAATATTAAGGAAATGTGCTATCCATTGCCTTTTCACCTATAAATTCAGCCCTGCAGCTCGAAATGGTAAATTTCTAGAGAGGCTGGCAAGCAGATGTTTCATTGCTGTAAAGCCTGAATCAGGATGCGGGCCAAGTACTCTCATCTCTGGGGCCCACACACTTAACCCCTAACTGGAGCTACTGCCCCCCAAAAAACAGATGTGGTAGTAATAACAGTTCTCCTCCCCCTTCTCCCCACTGACTTAACCACCCAACAAAAGTAAATTTTGTGTTGTAAAATTCTAGAATACCTTCATAAACAGTCTGTGTTGGAGAATACCATGCTCAACTACTTCCACAAAGTGATTATGTTTGGTGATTGTGTTCACATGAGCATTGCGGGCATGTGCTTTTTACTATGCTTTCTTCTTTTAGGCTCCATCTGTGTACTACAAAAATAATCCACAAAAATAATTTGTAGTTGCTACTTGTCAAGAAAATGGGTAATACTGGTGACCATGCACTTAATTCAGCTGGTTCTATGCAGCTGAACTAATTGTGTCCCCAAATCGTAAGTTGATCATAAAAGTGTATTTAATGGATATTATAGACACATGCTCGCATTTCCATAATGATCAGTACAGCACAGAATTACCAATATTTCATGGCTTGCTTTTTTTGATATGAGAGTTCTTATATTTGAGAATATCAACTGGGGAAACAAAAAATAAAAGTATAACTCCTCTAATTTATTAAATCTATTCCCTATCACTTAAAATTTTGCTATCTAAATGTAAGTAGGCCTAAATGTCATTACTGAATCTTTTAATAAAGTGAATTATAGAAAATTAATCAATTGCTATAGCAAATAATAAAATACACTCTCAGAACTTTAATACTTAAAAGATATTTCTGATAGGATGTACATTATTAATTTTGGAAATGAGGATGGGAAATTACTTTTCATAACTGAGTTGTCACAAAACGCCAAGGCTTTGGAGCAGAATTCTCAAGAAAGTTTCTGTGGCTGGTCCAAAGGTAGTGAGTTATCTCAATTGATTGTTCACAGTCAGTACAGATTGAACTCCTTGTTCTACTCTTTCCCCCCTTCTCACTACTGCACTTGACTAGTCTTTAAAAAATAAAAATAAAAAAAAAAGAAAGTTTCTGTGCTGAGTCGTCCTCCAAAGAGAAATAGACGTCTTGAGGACTGAGATCTTTTTTCCTCTGGTCAGAAGGGCTGGCTGTTGAAAGGAGAGTTTGGTTAGTCATTGTTTTTCTTTTCCCTTCATGATAATCCTCGAGGCATTGCTGGAACAGTGTTCTCAGGGACTCCGGAGAGGTTAGCTCTCTGATACTTGGATTTTGACACGTCTTCCAGGATGACACTCTACTTACGTGATTGTCATATAAGGTGCCATAGAGCTCTTGGTTCACAGCCTGCTCACATGGACTGTCTGTAGACGGGTCACTGAAAGAAGGCCATTCTGTATTTGCTAACACAACTCAACTCGGGGGCTTCTGTATCCTGGCTTCCTCTCCAAGGCTTTGTCCCATCCTTGTGTTCAAATGCAGCTCCTTCTGGGCTCAGTTTACTGTGTGTCTCCCCCAGGAATATGACTGACACAGAAAATATTTTACATAACAATGCAACCTTTCAACACAAACTGAGGGCCTCGTCAACCTTCTGAGCTAACATAGTCCAGATTGTCTGTTGGTCATATATGGGAGTAGCCTGTTAAACAAACTGTGACTTGCCTTGTTGTTAATTATAATTAACTCCTGTGGTTCTAGCTCAAAAGGATATCATAGAAGCTACTCTTAACTTCATGGTAGCAATTTTTTCCCTATTGATAGATTCTAACTGCCCACAATTATCTGCACAGCTTAAAATGTGGACTGTAGCCCCAGGCCAGCACGATGACTTTGAAACTGAAAGTTCTGGAATATTGCTATATCTTTTGGAGTATTTCTGATTGGGAAATTTGAGTCTAGCTATTTCTGCAGTGGGAAAAAGATAGTTGTTATAAAAGAAGGGAAAAGGGAAAAGAATTTTATGTTGGAAATAAGTGGAATACAGTATAAATTGTCATTTGATTGCTTACTGTGATGCTCTCAAAGCTAGAAATTGTCATTTATGTATATTCAGTGGTGGACAGTCTCAAAAAAGTATTCACTTTATCAGTTTCTATACAAAAACTATTTAGTTTGGGGCAAATATACTCATGAGAACTAAAAGTATGCCATGAAAATCTCCAGCATACTCACTGCTGTATAAATAAGCACTTGAAAACACACAAACCCTGGAAATCAGACCTTCTATTTATTAATGTTTTTACCATTTTAAAATATGATCTTAATTATATTGTACAGGTTCTTGTCTTTTGAATAACACATTGTAAAAAGTAATTTAGCCCTTTTTGGTAAGATTGAATGTCTAGGACAATATATATTATGTGTATAGGGCATGTGATATGTTATTAATCTGTCTTCCATTTATTTATTTATTCATTTATTGGGACAGTGTCTTGTTATATAGTTCAGGCTGGCCTAAACTTGTAGTGATCCTCCTGCCTCACCTCCCAAGTGCTAGGATTACAGGCATACACCACCAGGTCTGGCTGCTGGCTTCCTTTTATTTATTTATTTATTTATTTTTGGTACTGGGGATCGAACTCATGACCTTGCGCCTGCCAGAAAGGCACTTATGCCACTGATCTAAATCCTTGGCTCTGTCTTCCTTTTAAGTGTGATGTAGTACAGTATTGTTTCCCATGCCACTGAAATCTGAGGGTCTCAGTGCAGCCGCGCTAAAGATCGTAAGACTGCTGTCTTTGTGGAAGTGACCATGATTCTGCTCTGTGCTTGCGGCACTGCTGAGGGTGGAGGGATTTAACCACTTTTCTTCCAGGGAATTTCCACCACGTCCCAGAGAGCAGAACTGAAGTTCAGCAGAGGGAACGCAGTGCTCCCAGGCTGCATCACTGACCTTATTGGTGTGGCCAGCTGCCTGCCCTTTGTGAGTTCCGGTCAGCGGAGCTCTGGGGCCTGCCAGTTGCGGGCGGGCAGGGGTCTTGCCTGTGTGCCTGGTGCAGGAATTGTTTCAATTCATAGAGGGTGCATCTGTCTTCCCTTCAGAATTTGAGGTTATTTCGTCTCTGTGTTTAAGGTCTGAAAAATGGGCCATGGGTAATACCTGCCTCTCAGAGCTGCTGTGAAGATGAACTGAGGTGATATCCATGAAGTTCTCACAGCAGCATAGTGTATAGTAAGGGTTAAAGTTTCAAAATCATGGTCATACCACTGGATGAGTATTTAAGCTTCTTCTAAAAAGAAATGATAAAAGATTGTTTTTTTCTGATAGAAGATGATTTATACTTTGTTTTCCAAGGCAGGAGGCTACGAGAGTGAAGGAATTTGTATCAAAGGAGCAGAACTGAAAGATATCACCTAAAATATGACTAGATATGCACCAGTGTCTGAGGAGATGCTCATAACATCTCCTTGGGAGTTTTCAAAGGAGATTTTTGAAAAGAGTTAAAAAGAATTCAGAAATACATGGAGATGGAGGGCATTGGGTACAAAGCTACAGGAGCTCAAAAGTATCTCATGTATCTAATCAGAGCTAAAATAGCTTAATTGAAGGTGTGTGTGTGTGTGTGTGTGTGTGTGTGTGTGTTTCCAACTGCCTGTGTAACTTACTTGCTTTTCTCAGTTTCTTGCACAGAGAAGGGCACTGACCATCCGCTTTGTTAAGGAAAGCAGCCATTACGTTCATGAGGCATGTGGGAAGGGGCACACTACAAAACTTGCAACCTCTTCTTGCTTTTCTTGAATGCTTCTTGGGAGTGTGGCTTATGCCACGCCTCACTGTGCATGGGCTGCACCAGGGCCGGCCCCAGCATTCCCCGCGCTGGGGTTGGCTGGTGGCTGCCCTTTGGCCTGGTTCCCTGGGCCAGGGCCACTCAGTTGAAATTTGCTCCTGGACTCAGAGGTGCAGCCCTATCAGACTACAGTGTGTATTTGTCTTGTAATTTTCAGACAAGAAGAAGGGAGGCAAATTCCAGCCTTTTAAGAAGTTGTTTGGCAAAAGGAAAAAGAAAGATCCTTCTCTGTCCCGGGAGGAGTCGGTGGGGAAGAAGAGTTACTCTCCACAGTGTGTCAGCAATGGGACCTTCTCTTCAGACGAGGAGACACTGGGGGACAATCTGAGGTAATGACTTCTGCTTTCTTTCCCTGTTGTTAGCAGCTTCATGGGTGTGGGTAGAATCCCCAGGAGGCAGGCACTGTTGATTGCATTGGACAACAGGAGCTGAATCACAAAGGTGTTCGAGTCCCACAAATTGCTGCTGCTTGATGCATTCTCCTTGGAGAGGTCAACTGGGACTTAGCAGATAGTCTGACCTCATGTTCTTGGAGGGCACAGGGCTCAGCAGGGTTCACTGGGTTGCAGATCCAGTTGCTGGGTCCCATTACTTGGCAAGGAGAAGATGCCCATTGACCAGCGTGCACATGAGTTGAGGATGTAGATTGCTCGTGCACGGGCCAGCGTCCTCCAAGCTCCTGGGACCGCTCGCGCCTTTCGGAATGTGTTCTTGCTGAAGCTGTTAACTCCTTCTTTGTCCCCCTCCCTCTTTTTCTTCCTTCTTCTCTTCTTTCTCCTTCTTCTTTCCTTTCTTCCTTTGTTCCCTTCCCCTTCCTCCCTCACGCTGTCTCCTTTCTTCTGATACTGACAGCATAGACATCAGCTCCTCTGAGAAAGCCTTTCCCAGCTACCCAGTCTCATTCATTTGCCCTCGCTTGTGCTGTCTAGCTCCAGCAAAGAACTTGTCACTTTCTATGGAAATTATTGATTTGCTTCTCTGTCTCTCACTCAACTCTTGGTCCCGTGAAGTCAGGAATGAGATTTCATTCAGACTTCTATTAACTGTTCCAGAAAGATTTCCTGTGAATGCCTGGCACTGCCTAAGTCACAGAATACGTACTACAGGAGTATGTGGTATAAGCTGTGGTAGTCTTACGGTGTTCCAAAACAAAGTCAAAACACTCATGAGGTGCACATCAGTAGGTAAACTCTAACAGACGCTGTGTCGTGCCCAAATGACAAAACCCTCAAAGCAGCAGTGCACAGTGAGCCCAGCATTCATTTACCAGCAGGTTCCCTCTCACCCATCCTGACTGTTCCCCTGGACAGACCTGTGTGTGTCTTTCATTGTTTTTACTCTTTTGTTAAGAAAACTATGAAATTTAATTATACTCTTTAGAGGGAGAAAAACTTTCAAAGAAAAGGATTTAACTGAAAGGGGAATCCATCTAACACTAAGGAACCCAACTGTTGAGATACCAGAACTGACCCAGAGTTAAGCACTGTCCAGGATGGGTTGTTTGGTTTTACTTCTGTTTCTTCAGTTATAAAGTAGAAATGTGAAGTGTGACCGAGAAGCGGCTCAGTGAAAAGTGAGGTCAAGCTGGCAAGCTCACCTTCGGACAGAGTCCTGTGAAGACACCGTGTCCTTCTGTGTTGTGAAGGTTCTGACCAGGCCCTGGCAACTTATGTGTTAGCTCCTAGAGGAGCTGGGGACTTGGTCGTCCTCTGTCCATTTAAATTCTATATTCCATTTACCTCTTGAAGTTTTCCATAAGGTTTTGAGTTTTGTAAAACCTTGGAAAATTCCATATTGGCTCAAGCAGCTATATTTTTGTAAATACTGTCACCTGTTCTCAGTGAAATGTATAGTATATCTATGAGTCATGTGCTGTATTTTAATTGAACATTTGCTTATTGAAAATGTCTCATAAATAAGGAAGCAAGAAGGATAAGCTTTGTTTATGCATTTAAAACAACTCTCTTTAAATATATTTAAAAGTTAAAAATTTAAATATAGAATATATAAGTAATTTTAAAGTATGTAGTATGCATTCCCCCTTTCTTCTACAAATTGAAAATTGCAAAGTAATTTTGTCTACAATGTAAACATTACATGGATTACCTACAGCATAGCTGAACTTCTGATTATCTTCCTTATTTAAGGTGGAGAAAATGAAAAACATTATTTCCAACAAGTCTTACTTTCAGTCCACTGTTCAATTAATAGACATATTTGTTACTTTACATAGTGCAATGATTTTTAAAAGTTTTCAACTTACTTTACTTTGCATTCTTCAAAATGAAAGGCTCTCACCAAAACACAAAACTTAACATTTTGGTAACATGATGTTGGGTAGAGGTCTAAGGAGACAAAACTCAGTCCAGTGTGACAGAGAATTCCTACTAAAAAAGACTTGAAAATGGGGAGGCTGTGTTCACAGGGCTTATGCCCATGAAGGTGGGCTTTCTTCACTAATGGAGAATCTAAAGTTGCTGAACTTGAAAATGCTGTTTATCTCTAAGAATCTGTAATTCTAGCACATCTCTAACCAAAAATAGCCTCTTATTAATCTGCTGCTTCTGCCTGAAGTTTTTCATTTCCTTTGGGCTTTTAAAGCATGTGTTCTTTCTGCCTTTCTGTCTCCTAAACTGCTGCTCTGAAATTACACATGCCTTGGGAAAAATGAAGCAATAAAATGTGACCAGTTTAACAATCAATGTGACTTCTTTTGTTAATTAAATACAATTAGTATGTTTCCCAAAATGTGTTAAATAGATATTATGTGTGAAAAAGGAGTCATTTTAATAAAATGGTTTGGGAAATTCTAGGGCCAAAAAAAAAAAAAAAAAAAAACCAGATTCCTTGCAAGTTATGTTACAGGATTTTTGCTGTGTTCAGGTGCCCTTGAATCCGCAATATGGATCATTTCCTAGATTCCTTGACCACAGACACTTTTTTTTTCACAGAGAATATCCCATTAGAAACATACTAAAGCCACTACTAGTGGAACTTAATATGATGTGTTTCACAGTGACAGCAAACCTTTTAGAGCTTTCCGTGATACAGACAGCTTGCTACAGCACACGTGTCTTAGGTTCAGCACAGCTGAAATCAGGGAAGTTGTGTAATATTTACCTTGACTCTCTAAGACTGACATGATCCCTAATTCTAAGAGGAGGAAACTAATAGCCAAGGTCATGCAGCTGTTAAGTGCCTGAGCAACAATCTACACTGTAAATAGTATATTCCTAACTGTCCACCACCATGCCTCTCAAGGAGACAGCCTTCATGAGGAGCCAGTCACATGGCCTGCCATTGTCTGCTGGTCCTGAGTCACCAGACTGATGTCTGCTTTCCTCCTGCTGCCTGAGTGAAGCTCTGCTACTTCCTGGGAGTTTATTGCTTCTACTTTCTCCTGAACACCCAGGATCTACTACAGGACTTTGTATTGTGCCAACTTAATCTAAGCACAGTGAGGATTGAAAGGGCTCCAGAGAGCATGAGCTTACTATAGGACTGGAACAATTTGGGAAATATTTAGGATAAGCAGACCTTGAGCGAGCTGTAAACAATGGGAAGGATTTAGAGTAGCTGAGGAGCAAGACCATGATTCTATTAGATAATGGCACAGAAACTTTCATGCCAAATTGGATGTGGCAAACAGAATTCGAGAGAACTTTTCAAGTTACTCTATAAGACCATTGTAACCCTCACACCAAATCCAAGCAAAGAAGAAACTACAGGCTAATGTCCACATAGAAATAGACACAAACATTTTCAACAAAATACTAGCAAACTGAATCTAACTACATATAGAAAGGGTTACATATCATAATCAAGTGGAATTTCTTCTAGGGATGTAACTTTGGTTTTATATACAAAAATCAGTCAATGTAACACACCATAGAATAAAAAGCCAATATCATATGATCATCTTGAGATGCCTAGAAAGCATTTGACAAAGTTCAATACTTTCTATGATTCAACAAGAAAAATAACAAACATTAGGAATAGACATGAACACCTAACCTTGATAAAAGACATCTAGGAAAACTCAGGGCTAATAGCATAATGGTCAAAGAAGGAATACATTCCCCTTAAAATCAGGAACAAGATGAGGATGTATTTTCCCATCCCTTCTATCTCATGCTGTACTGTGCTGTACAGTGTATACTGTACTAGTAAAATAGCACTGAGGCAATAAGAAGAGAAAAACAAAAAGCCCTTCAACCTTGTAAAGCAGGAAGAAAAACTATCTCTTTGTAGATACCACGAATATATATGTGAATATATATATCATATATATGGAACTCACATACATTAAAACTGTTTGACTAATAATGTTAAGCAAGATTACAGGATACAGATTGGAGTGCTGTATCTTATCTATACTTCTGCACATTAGCAGTGAATGATCTAAAAAGGAATGTAGGAGAAACATTCCATCTATCATAGCTTCAAAGAATAAAATACTTAGGAATAAATTTTAACAAAAGCAGTGCAAACCTTATACAATAAAAAGGAAAAAAATCATAGAAATAAACTAAAAAGATCTAAATAGGTGAAAAGACATCCCATGTTCATGGATTAGAAAACTTAATATTATTTTTAAAAAACCAGCATTCCCCAAACTGATCTGCAGATACTCCATGCAGTCCTGGTCAAGTCCCAGTTGCCACTCTCCCAAATTAGCAAGTAAATCCTAAAATTTATACAGAATGCAAGAAACCCAGAATAGGCACACACACACACACACACACACACACACACACACCCCAAAAAAAATCTTAAAGGGAAAAAAAATTGGAGGACTCTTGCTTCCCAAGTTAAAAGCAGTACAAAACTATTATAATCTAAACAATGTAGCATTGGTACTCAGACAGATTGTAAGTGATCAATGGGATTGAATCAAGAGTCTAGAAATAAATCATACCTAAAAGTTGACTGATCTTCAACATGAGTGTCAAAACAATTCAATGAATGAAAAACGGTCTGTTCAGCAAATGGTACCGAGAGCATTGGACAGCCACGTGCAAAAAAATTAAGTTGGAAATAAAAGAAACAAATTGGACCCTTTTCTTCCATAATACACAAAAATTAACTCAAAATGGATTACAGACCTAAATGTAAGAACTAAAAATGATAAAGCTCTTCAAAGAAAGCAAAGAAGTAAATGCCCATGACCCTGAATTAGGAAGTCATTTCTTAGGCACCAAAAGCACAAGTGACCAAAGAGACATTGGACATTGTCAAAATTAAATTTTGCGCTACAAATGATACTGTCAAGGAAGTGAAAAAACCATCCAAAGAACACAAGAAAACATTTGCAAGTAATATATCTGCT